GACTGACATGAGATTGGGGTCCCTGAAGGTTCAACTGGGGCGTTAGGTTTCATGACAAGCCCCTTGGACAGTTCGCACGGTGTGCCCCCATATCAGTTTTCTTCCAAATTGGCTTTTCAGAAAAACCTTTGTTGTCGGGGGAAAGAGCATCTTCACCAGCCCTGGTTCATTTGCCTCTGTTGATAGCATCTGAACTGTGACAAGGAGGAGTTGGCTATAGCAATAGGACCCCCTGGCACCATCACCGTGGGCCTTCTCTACGTCTGCCTGCTCTGAGCTTCAACCACACATGGCAGGGTCACTATCCCTCAGCTAAAGATACTGAGTCTCCTGGGAGTTAGAATAGCAGCCTGCCCCGGGGTGAGCAGCGTGAAGATTCCACAGCTGGAATCTGACGCAGGTACGATCGATGTCCAAGTCAGATGTTTAGCCAGTGCCCTAGCCCTGACACTTAGGTTCGGAGAAGTAAATAAAAGCCAGGCTACCGTATTCCACCTTCATCTTCTAACATGTTTGCTTCTTTGATCCTGCCAATTGGATGGGATCAAAGGAGCTCTGAGAACTTCGTGAAGCTTCCCAGCAGGATGGAAAGCAACAGTCTCTAGAATTTGCACACTTGAGTTCAGACCTCTTTCGTCTCAAGTCCTGAAAGATCTGGAAGCCCTGAGTTGGTCCTTTCCCTTTCTAATCTTTGTTTTGATGCCACTGTCAAGTATGACAGAGGAGCTCCACCCTCTCCGGAGAGTCATCTAAACAGCCTGTTCATAGCCGTCCTGCCCAGGCTCTATGCTGGGCAATAATGAATCATCTGTGGGGGAGACTGACGCAGCCCTTGTCTTTATGTAAGGCATAATCCTAAAGCAGAATTCTTAATAACTGTGCTATGGTCTGTGACCTGCACAAGAAGACCTCAGGAGAAAGCCATAGGGAAGAACAGTCATTGTCTAGGTGTCTACAAGGGTTGAGGAATCAACAGGTTGCTTGTGGAACTTACAAAATTTGAAGAGAGTTCTCTAAAGTCTGCAGAGACAGGTTCTCCTGCTCTGTTCCTCCAGAGCCCAGGTTTCAGCCCACCACCGACCACAGGCCACAGTCTTATTGCCAAGCGTTGACTTTTCTCACCAGGGGAAAGAATGAACATCTCATAGCTCTGAAATTGCCTTTAGGTCTTGTCCAGCTTTGAACCCCTTTGTCAGCCTTCTGTCTTCTCCGATGCTCGCTCTCTCTCTCTCTCTCTCTCTCTCTCTCTCTCTCTCTCCTATAAAAGAAGAGACCGCACAAGCCACAATTTGTTTTTCTTTAGAAGAGTCTAAAAAGAAATTATTCATGGGCGTTTGAGGGTCTAGTAGCAGGGAGGGTAGAGGAAAAGAAAAAGCAAGCAAGAAAAAAATGGGTTAAAGCTCAGAATTTCCTGGAATTTTTATTTAATTTTCTTTGGGAGAAAAGAGATTTTCTAAGTCAGAGATGAAAGGGAAGTCTGCACACAGAGGCCCCCGAGAAGTTACAATCTGTGCTAGGTTTAGCTCTCTCGCTGAATGTGGCTTGGAGATCAGACGTTGTGGTTAGACAATTCATAAACCCGGCAGGGCTTCGTTTGGATGCTGGCTCCTGACAGAGTACCAAGACCTCTGGATCAGCAGCCAGGGCTGCAGAGCTGTCTCGTCAGCACCCAGCCCTCTGACCCACCTCACTCTTCCTCCAGCTTCCTGGCCTGCCTGCCTCCTTCCCAGACTGGAACAGCGTCCTGCTGGGACCTCCTCAGTGAGTGCCTTGGATCCTGACCTCTGCCCAGACTGCTTGCTTCGTCCTCTCATTCTGGAATCTGAGTTCATTCTAGCCCTACTTTAGGGTCACTAATTCTCTTTCAGTACTGGTCCATTTGTGAAGATCTCTGCACACCACATGACCCAAGGTCATCCAAGTGCTGGGTTTTTGTCTGTCACTTCTTTGTAGGTCACTCATCTGAGTAGGTTCTCTTTTCGGAATCTTAAAATTTCCCAGCTTTAATCTGAGAGTCACAGGATGTGAGATAGACTTAGTTATCAGCTGTAAGTCACTGAGAGGTCTGCCGTCATCTTTCTCATTTTCTATCTCAGTTCTTATCTACTTGTTCAGAATGATTGTCACACATTTGGCTGGGTTATCATAAAGTCAGAGTTTAACTCCAAACCCCTAAGACATGCATCTGCTGCAATGGAGACTGCTGGTCTACACTGTCCTAAGACATGCAACTGCTGCAGTGGAGACTGCTGATGCCCTAAGACATATACCTGCTGCAGCGGATACTGCTGGTGAACACTGCCCTAAGACATGCATCTGCTGCAGCGGAGACTGCTGGTGAACACTGCCCTAAGACATGCCTCTGCTGCAGCGGAGACTGCTGGTGAACACTGTCCTAAGACATGCAACTGCTGCAGTGGAGACTGCTGGTGAACACTGCCCTAAGACATGCATCTGCTGCAGCGGAGGCTGCTGGTGAACACTGTCCTAAGACATGCATCTGCTGCAGCGGAGACTGCTGGCGAACACTGCCCTAAGACATGCATCTGCTACAGTGGAGACTGCTGGTGAACACTGTCAACATACCTTTCTGACTGAGTTCAGTGACTGAAGTTTTCTTTTACCAGCTGGAAACCTTGATTGAAAGAATAATAGAGTTAATGATTAAGAAAAGGGAATTTCAAATTCTTGCTTCCTCCCCTACAGGCTTGACAATGTTCTTCATTACAAAGTTCTCCCATCTTTCAGAAACAGCATGCAGCACCCCATGTCAAAACTATACCCTGGCAAAAAAAAAAAAAAAAAAAAAAAAAACCCTCCCATCTCTGCTGTGGGCCTTCCCCTCTCTAAAACAGGAAGTGCTGAGTTCACGCATTACTGAAATAAGACCATTATTCTTTCTTGATCTGTTTTGGTTGATACATTCCCTGGCTCCCTTGTGCCAGAGACTTTAAAAAGTAGAACCGAAGTATGAAATACTTCCGCCGTTTGTAGAACTAGTCTCAAGGCAAGACATACATATGAAAAGCTTATGGAAAATATGTAGCGAGGTTAATGATTAAGAAAAAGGAATCTCATGTCCTTTCTTCCTACCCTGCAGGCTAGACAAACTTGTTGTACATTCCAAAGTTCTCCATTCTTCCAAAACCACCCCTCCCCATTGGCAACTAAGTATCCATTGCTGACCTGTTCCTGGGACGGCGTCTCCTGATGTCATGGACTTCTTCTCCCTGTCCTACCCTCATCCGTGGTTTGCTTGTTTGTGCCCCTGTGCTGTTAAAGAGTAAATTTCAAATACTTCATTATGCTGGGCCGTTGAGTGGTATGTCTCCTACGGGTCTCAAGGCAAGTCAAACTGCAAAGGTACCTGTACTTTGGATTTTAGAATTTGGCTGATTTGAGATCCCAGCCCCATTGTTGTGTGAAACTATAGCCCATACTTCTGAGCCTCTGCGTTACTCATCTGTGAAATGGGTATAATTAAACTACCTTACAGGGAATGATGGCTTATTTAAGTCTCCTGAAGCTTCCCTTACTTGTCTTAGAGGAAGTCAAGTCATGTCTGTAGGACACTCTTTGGAAGATTCTAGGCTCTCTCTCGGTATTCAGTGGCGGTTTAGTGGCCCTATTTCACCAGAGAAAGCTCTAAAACTCACGTAGCCGCCCCCACCCCGTCTTTGCCCTGGGTTTGCCTCATCCCTGGATCCTAGCACCTGTTGCCACATCATTCAGCCACCACGCTGCACCCACATTCTCCCTGAGTTTGTTCAATGCGCTGACTTTAACTTTCAAGGAGAGCTGGTATCCGCACAGGGACCTGGAGAGGCAGATTCCATCACAACAGCTGCCAGACAGATTCCATCTCTCCTGTTCTGCCCTGGAGGGAGGAGGATACCAGGAGAGTCCCCTGACAGATCATCTCATGGCAGATAACTGCCCCTGGTCCCTGTAGAGTAAGAACAGCAAGACTCCAGACTTCGGAAGCCCTGGAGCATCCATACGGCAGAACGCTACAGTGACCTGGAAGCTGGTGGTCTCACCTGTCTTTTCTGGACAAGGAAATTTTCCTCATAACAGTGACTGGATGCAGAGGGACGGGGTCATCCCCATTGGTGAGCTCCTGCTATGTTCTAGGCACTGTAGGCCAGTCTTACACACTGTGACACCCTCCCCACCGCAGAGCTAAGAAAAGCCTTGCTCTGACCCCTCCTTTAGAGCTGAGAAACCCAAGGTTCAATCACTGGCCCTGGTCATAGAGCTGGGTGCGAGTAGGAACTCAAGCAAAGTCTGTTTGGCTTTGAAGTCCATCACAGCTGGGTTCCTACTAAAGGCCGGGTAAAGAGCAAGGGTGTGAGTAGCTTTCAGAGGGAGGGGGGAGGTGCCAGTCTGCTGCTTGCTGCCTCAACCCAGCTGGAAGTTGTGGTCACCAGACTGGGGGATTTGAGGGCCTCTTCCAGCCACCTGCTCTCTCTGCATCATGAAAACATAGCCCCTCAAAGAGATGGCGGGAGGGAGTGGGGCGCGCACCGTCTGTGAATGGTCCACCTTGGAAACAACATCTTGGAAGGGAAACACTTTGAATGGAAATTTGTAAATGGGTAGCTTCGTGGGGTGCATCTCATGGTAGAGAGATGTTTTGTTTCAGCGGCAGGAATTTTCAAAACTTCAGATGAATTGTTAACCTTCTTAAAAGGCAACGGGTTTCCACAAAACTCCAGACTTCTGAAATTACCTTGAAAAAGCCAAAGTGAGCCTTCATCCCCCCTCTGGCCACTGGTGACTGGAGTTGAGGCAGCCCCTCACTTGTACCTGAAAGTGGGAAGTGCTCTTTAATCAGGTACCGTCCTTTTTCCCTTGGGTGTGCTCTCTGGTAAGGAGTCCCAGTTCCGCCTCCCCACCGCAGCATCCCCACCCCCAGCCACCATTTTTCTCCTCTTGGAAGTAAGGGTTGAAATGACCCTTCCTGGTGTCTTCATACATCTTTCTTTTTGTTCCTCTAGGCGTTCCCTTCCCGAAGAACTTCCTTCAGATCTGCAAGAAGATCCTGTGCCGCCTGTTTCGGGTCTTCGTCCACGTCTATATCCACCACTTTGACCGGGTCATTGTGATGGGGGCAGAGGCGCATGTCAACACCTGCTACAAACACTTCTATTACTTCGTCACAGAAATGAACCTCATAGACCGCAAAGAGCTAGAGCCCTTGGTAAGTGTCTCGGCAGTATGGCGCCATACACCGCGAGAGCTACGGGAGGGGGGATAGGAGGGAGCTGCAGAATTAGACAGGGCGGGGATAGGAGGGAGCTGCAGAATTAGACAGCGTTCAGTGACCAGCAAAGGGCCAGGGTGCATCAAAATGTCTATTGCAACCACGTAAATGTCTGAAGTTGCTCTCCAGGAGGTGAGATAATGTGTTGACATTATTCCTATATAATGATTTGGGCCAAGGAAGCTGGGTTTAATATACAACTCTAAAATCATAGAGACACTTCTCTTTTTTTTTTTTTTTTTTTTTTGGATTTTGGTTTTTCAAGGCAAGGTCTCTCTGTATAACCCTGGCTATCCTGGAACTCTCGAGCTGTAGACCAGGCTAGCCTCGAACTCAGAGATTTGCCTGTCTCTACCTCCTCCCAAGTGCTAGGATTAAAGGCATGTACTCCCACCACCCGACTGAGCCACTTCTTTGGTCTGTCACTACTAGTCAGTGATGCTCAGAAACATTGCATTCTTTTTTTTTTAAAGACTTATTTATTTATTATGTATATGACATCCCTTCCATGTATGCTTGCATGCCAGAAGAAGGCACCAGATCTCATTATAGATGGTTGTGAGCCACCATTGAACTCAGGACCTCTGGAAGAACAGTCAGTGCTCTTAACCTCTGAGCCATCTCTCCAGCGCCAACATTGTGTTCTTTAGTCAGTAAATGTGCATTGAACACCCACTGCCTGTCGGCTGCTAGGCCCACAAAGTCGGACACAGAGAGAAGCAAGTCCTAAGGAAGAGTTCTGTGTCATAGGAAATTTGCTCCTTATCCCAAATCCCCTGGGGTGAAGCCATGGATAGATCATTTGAGGAGATTAAGCTCCAGCTTTGTAATACGGATGAGTGGAGTCTGGTTTCTTTTTATTGTTTTTAAAAGAAATTTATTTTTGTTTTGTGTATGCGTGCTTGGCTTGCATATATGCACATGCATCGTGTGTGCATGGAGTACCTGTGGAGGCCAGAAGAGGGTCTCAAATCCCCCGGAACTGGAGTTACAGGTGGTTGTGGTTGCCACGTGGATGCTGGGAATCAAACCTGAGTCCTGAAAGAGTGACAGAAGCTCTTCACCACTGAGCTGTCCCTCTGTGCCCTGCGTTTATTTTCTTCAAAAGGACCTTTCACCGTTGGCTTTAGCGTGTGCTCGAGAGATCAAGGACCCTCGAAACCTTTGTGACAGGTTCACTTTAATGTGGATGCTGGCCTCACAGGTAGCCCCAGTGACGCTAGTGAGTCCCTCTCTACCCAGTAGGATACATTGCTTTATACTAAAATCATATTTTTTTTTCTTGAGAGAGTTAAAAATGTAGTTTTGCTAAATATAGTTGGCAAAATAAGTTTTATCCGAGTCTTTTTGAATGTTGACCAAAAGAGCCTATGTGTCTGCTCTCCTCTTTCCCCTCCTTTCTTTGTCTGCACGATTGAAGTGAGGTTTTATTATTATTTGGCTATCTGAGATCAACAGCTCATGTGACTACGCCCAGAAAGATACTGTGTTAGATTCACATGGCCTCATAATGAGAGCTGAGCCTACCTGTGTGAGGCAGCAGATGGGGAGGAACCAGAGCGAGCAGACAAACAGGTGCAGGGTATACTCATTTGAAGGATCTCAGCAGCCTCGCAAGCGCACGTAGGCCTTGCGGTCTGCCTGTTACTTGCCCTGCGGTCATTGGTCTGACAGCCTAAAGTGGGAAGTGCTTGGCTGTGGGCTCTAGATTGGCTGGTTTATATCGGCTGTGTGTGTACAACTGTGAGTCAACAGTTTGCCTTCTCAGGTATTAACTAGTGGCGGGGGGGGGGGGGGGGTTCCCTCTCGAGGTCAGCAAGATCCCAGGGATTAAAGAAGCAAAATGATAAAATAAAAAAGTTTTAAAAATAAAAATCATATTAGCTCTACGTGTGGTGTATCTATATCTAGTAAAGAAAATGGCGGTGGATCTTCTGTTGCCTTTCGGAGTCTAATTCGTGGTCTAGAATTACACCCTGGAATACACACCAAACCGTTTGCTTTGCATGCAGTTGAGATGTCTCTCACGTTGTTGGTTAGAGAACAGATGGTTGTCTGTCGTCTTCACTTTCTTTCCATTGGGTTCTTTGGAAGCTTTCGGGACAGCCACCAAGTGATCTCTGAGCGTCGCTGTAGGACTCCTGTGAAAATAAGGCTAAAGGCGGTGGCGGTGGGTTTGCTAGTTTGTTCAGTATCAAGACTGCTTGAGTGTAAATAACCAGCCCAAGAGTAAAAGGTTGTGCAAGCAACTCAGGGGAGTGTGAGCACTGGAAACTGTTGATAAAGCTAATCTCAGAAAATGTCAAGGACGTGGAAAGAGAGGGGCTTGTCAGTCAAGAGACACAAAAGCGCTGCAGCTGGGCCACAGAATCGAGCTCCCATCGGGGCCACACCCAAGTAGACAGGAACAAGCCCCCAGAGGCCACCAAAAGTAAGAGCCCTGCTAAACACTGACACTTTCAGTGTTGTTGAGTTAACATACAAACATTAGATGGACAGGGCTGAGCATCACAGGGTTGGGCGTCAAGATCTCCCTTGTGCACAGAAGCATAAAGGCTACTGTGGGGGAAATCAGCAAGGAAAGAAAGCCTTTCTCTGCCGTCTAAATTCTCTCCGTTGTATTCTGTTCCTGAAGAAAGGCCTCCAGGAGCCGGAGCACCTGGTAGTGCCAGGAGCTGCCTTGCAGCCTCCCGGCCAGGCTCTGAACAAGCCAGTATTCTACAAAGAACTTCTTTGGGGGCCTGGGAGAAAAAACATGATTATCCTCACTGGGAGCTGTCAGCAGTGGAAGTGACGAGAAGTTGCGGGTGCCCCCCCACCCTGGTTTGTATTTCTTTAACGCGTACTTAAAATTGTTTTCTTCCCACATTTCGTTTTTTGTTGGTTATTGCGACAGGAAGTTTAATTGTAATAAGCAGCAGTAGTAAGTAGTCTTTAAAAAATTATGTGAAATTATGTGTTTGCTTGTTTATACAAACTCAAACCTGTAAATCACAGGACTGGATACTGTGAATGTTTATGAGTCTATGTTTATGTGATGGCCAGGCGTGGTGATGCATGCCTGTAATCCCAACACTCAAGAGGCATCCTCAGGAGGATTGCTGCAATTTTGAGTGTACATGGCCAGTTCCAGGCCAATCAGGGCGCTGTAGAGAGAATCTGTCCCCCGAATAGCAACAACAGGAGCTGGCAAGGTGACTCTGCTGTTCAGAGCCCCGTCCGTTCTTCCAGAGAACTGAGTTTAATTCCAGCATCTTCGCGGTAGTTCACAGCTGTCTGCAACACCAGTTCCGGGAAATTCGACAACCTCTTCTGGCTTTTGTGGGCACTAAGTATGCACATGGTACACAGACATATATGCAGGGAAAATACCCATGCACGTAGAATAAAATAATTTTAAGAACCCACAACAATTATATGGTGCTAGGCTCAACTGCTTGACAGATCACTAAGAGTGTTATACCTGTGGCTTGGCACTCATGACTTTGTGTTCGTTGATATTGCTGGAATTACCTGACTCTGTGTCTAATGTTGCAGAGTTGCAAAGTACATATTATAATCAGAGCTAGCGTACCAAATCAATACACTTCAATTTGTACAGTATTTTCTTACACTTATTTATTGTGGGGGGAGTGTGCTTGTGTTTAGACGTGTGCTTGTGTTTGTACACGCAGCTGCACACACGTGCACATATATGTGGGGGGCAGAGAACAGCTGTGGCAGTTCTCTCTTTTCATCACGGCTCCCAGGATCCGGACATCTAGCTTGGTGGCAGGGGCCTTTACTCATTGAAACATCTCATTGACCCCAAATCCATGTATTTTTATTTTGTATAGTCTAGCTACTCTATATGTTCAAAGCAAATTGTTGAGATATTATGGTTTATATAAGAGACATGTGTTTGGGGGACGCTTACAACAAAGCCTAGAAAATATGCCATCACGAGTATCTTCTTCATCCCCAGAGGATGAATAACCAGGACTTTGTCTTCAAATTCTGGTCGTGCATTCTTCAGAGTGTGGTGCAGCAAGAGGTCAAAGGACAGCATTTGTTCAGCCAATTTCCTTCAAAACAGCAGCGTTCCCAGACGTCCTCCACCGTCAGTGGGCCGTTGCTGGAGTCAGGCTTAGCATTCCACAGGGGGGAACTAGAGCCTCACCTGGGTCTTCCCATCTCCCTTGTCCAGCCACAGCCTTTCGTGTCAACGGTCGCCTGCTTGCATTGGAGCGGTGCCAGCTGAGCATCTGGCACGTGGCTTCTGTGGAGGGTCCAGGACCTGACAAGTGTCATACACAGCCAGCTTAAGACCAACCCCAGGGCTCAAACCCCAAACCTTCGCTTACTAACTTGTAACCTTTAACAAGACACTCAGTTTTTGAAAGCATCATTTTCCTCATTCACGGAGTCACCAGAATGGAATTACAGAAATTAAAGACCAGGCACACACAGTCAGTACTTAAGAAATGTTAGCTATTAAGTCAGATAATGAATTTACAGTAATTAGTACTCAGTAAGTAGAACAACCCCACTTTTTCCTTTCCTGATTCTTGTGGCTTTTCATCCATCCTAGTGATTCCTTGGGTAGCCTCAGAGCAAACAGAGACACAAGCTGTCTTTGTGTCTGCATCTCCCTTGGGTTGTCAGTCCTATGAGGACAGCTACTAAATAAAATGTAGTCCTGAATTGCCCATGCTTGGTGCATGATAAATACTTGAAATGGTTTTTGGTTTTAATTTGGGAAGAGTTGTTTAAAGATGATGTACCTCTGTTACATATAGCCATTCTTCCCTGGTACCACTTTATTTCATAATTGCCATTTAACACATTTATAGGGACTAAAGCTTCATCCTGACTGATTTATAGTAGAGATTAAAAGCAAATTAAGATGCAGAACAGTGAAGGGGTGTGTTCATCCTGACAGCATAAGTTGGGGCTAC